TACACATACATATACATTTACATATACATATACATACACACACACACATATATATATATATACATACATATACATATATATGTATATACATACACACCCACACACACACACATATATATATTTCTATATTTCTATATATATATATATATGTACACACACACACACACACACACACATACATACACACACACACACATATATATATATATATATATATATATACATATATATATATATATATATATATATATATATATATATATATATATATATATATATATACATATATATATATATATATATATACAGTGGAAGGGGGCGTCCACGAGCTGAGCACTTCAGTAGGCGAAAGGGCAAAATAATAGCTGATCGTTTCCGAATAAATATTTGTTGTCGCGATAAATAAACACAACACACTTACTGCAAGCGCCAGAGGAAAATGTAAGGACAATCCAGACTTCAGCCAATGACACATCAGTCGAAATGTTTAAGTTCTCTATAGGCCCGTTGAAAAAGTAGTGGCTAAAATCTTAATATTTGTCTCAATTCGGGCGAGTATTAGCTCTTATATATAGATAAGAGTGAAAAGCAGTACATACCTAGAACGAATTCCACTACGTCACTGTCTCCTGCTTCCGTGTCAGCTTTGGGTGGAAAGAACTTCTGCACCATCTCTATATACATCTTCAGCAGGGTGAAGCACTAGGAATAGAGATGGTGACATGAAAGGGTAGTTTAGTGCCGCAAGTGAATCACGTGTAACTTTGAAATTGATTTAAACTAGCATCAATTCTGACAGGAGGAGGGAAAGAAGTGGGATTCAGTGCTACAATGATAGAGCTTTAAATCTCATTTCCGAATTTAATAGCAGGCATGGCTATTTGATTCGGGTAGGAAGGTGAAAGCGAATTCATCTTCAATACCAACTCAAGGTGTGCAAACATTTTTGAACCCCACCTGACCAAATAACTTATCCACTTCTGCCGATAAGCGATCGACAAACGCACTCCTGGTCGGATCCGTTTCTGTCTCAGTGAGCTGCAAGAAGGATTTGCATGCCTTCATACCGACTGTAGGGCAATTGAATCGATATATGATTACTTTTGGGATCAACAGTTACCCCTGTACCCACTACAACCCCAAAACAAACAACCAGAAGCCTTCTTACGACAGAGACTAACTACCAGGAAGTGAGGTGATATATCTGATATTGTTAAAACACCGTCGATTGGCCCATATAAACTCTGAAACTAAACCGTATTTCATTTAACAATGAATACATACAAGCTCGCACACCAGACATACCCAGAAAACACTCGGCGATGCTGGCATTTAGACTACTTATATATAGAATTGGCCAACCGAGCGCATCCACATCCCCCACCCGTCTGAGCACATAGTCACAGCAGACTAGCAGGAGCCGGATGTGCACCGACAAAAATGATAACTGTACGGCAGAGGTTAAAAGGCAAAGATTAGTGGTGATACAGGAACGCACGCGATCATAATATCGGTCGTTAGAACCCCAAACCCTAAACAGAAAAGGCAGGCAAAGGTATCATCACTCGTATAAGTGGCTGTTGTACGCCATTATGCGGTGTAGTTCGGGAGGTACGATGCAATACGCTTACAAGCGAGATAGATGTGATCGCTGTTGAATGAAACAGGAGAGAGAATGTCACGCTATGACATGTCACATGTCGAAAGTGCAATGCAAAGGGTGAAAGACAGAGTATGTTTGCTGGCAAGGCGGGATACCCCCCCCTGACTTCAGTGACAACACTGGCACGAACACCCTCTTAGAGATAAAGTACGATAGGGAGGGCGTCGACCAACCCAACCAAGAAACTAAAAAGACACTACATACTGACATACTCTACATATGAATCAAACTTACACACTTATACTACTATCAGATGAATCGAAACCTTACGTTCTCAACGATTGTCTCTTCGTCACCTCCATTGGTCAGAAAACTTCGAAACGTGTCCACGAACAGTGCATGATGTTCAGTCATCGACTGTGTGATACCCGGACACTCTCGTGCCCACACACGGCACTCGAGTTGATCATCGGGAATGTGTTCCAGTTTTTGCTGGATCGCCTCTTCAGACACAACAAACCCTGGCTGTATATGTGAATATATATAGGTATGTGTGTATATGTTAGTGTGACTCCAGCTATGCGAAAGTGAACGATAGTTAATGGATGTATGCGAGTACATATGAACAAACATGAGAAGGTAAGGTATGAAAGTAGAGTAAACTAAAGTGCACGAAATTCTATATATGAAAATAGCGTCAATATAGGAAGGTAAATGTGAGTATGTGAGCAAACGTAAGAACACACCGAGTGCACCGTGAGCATTCTCCTTTCAATCACTCTAGCGGGGTAATGGATACTTCGTTCCTTGAACATCTACAATACTCCCTAGAGCATGCGAATCGGGACATATGGCTCGTGCGTACTGCATGCCTTCATGTAACGATACATGTAATAAGCATGCAGGAGTCACATCTTCATTCATACATTGAGATTGTAGTGCTTCGCGTTTACAACATCGCGACACCTCTTTTCCTTTTCTAAAACGTAACGACCATGTTTTGTACTACAAAGCCAGCTAAGATCTCTGCTTCATTAACAGCCAGATATCGGAGCTCATAGTAAAGGACACATACACCTGTCTATGATAACATACATTATCTATCACACATATCATACCAGCACACACTGAATCGAATCTCACACCACACCATAGCCGAGGAAGAACAAGTACAAAGATAATTAAGAAGCCTGCTTGACCAACAACTAGACATCTGAGTCAATCATAAAGAACAAATACACCTGCTTAGGATAGCATGCACTGTTTAACACACATACCATACCTGTACGCAAAGGATCTATCCCCAAACCATAGCCGAGAGAGAACAGTTGCAAAGCAAACGCAGGTCCCTGCTTCACCAACAACTAGGCATTTGAGCGCATAGAAAAGGTCAACGATAACGTACACTGCCACACACACACACACCTGTACACAAAGTATCCGGTCCTGCATCATGGTGGCAATAGGAATAGTCACAAGCAAGCGGCAAGGCGATCTCGGCCCGTTCGCCCGGCCTCAAGGCTTCAGGAAGACTAGTGTCGCATTCCCTACATTGTAGAGTGTTGGAATGTCTATGAGGACCAATTTAATACGCAGACATGTAGCTATTAGTACCCGTGATAGTGGCCATGCACAAGGTGCCTACTCACAGAGTTTGTATATTGCTGGTTAAGAACACCATGGATGTCGTAGGACTGCTTTGCCACGGCAATCCGACTCACAAAACGCTTGAAACCCCTTCTGATACATTGGCAGAGTAACGGATATATATACATCCGATGGTATAATAATATTGAATCATCGGGCCGATGTATTGAACAAATAAGCACTGGAGAGCGGAGAAGAAAGAATCATGCACACTGAAACAACGCCAGCGATTACTTTGCCGACAATACATGCAGCACAACGAAGGTCAACTATACCCCAAAAAAACATGGGTACATACATTGTATGTAGCAAGCTGTACAGCTACACCAGTTTGAAGGCCGCAGATGAAATAACTTGAATCGCAGCTATTCGAAGTTAAGATTGCAAGTGTGCAACTAGCAGTGTGGGCGTGGTTTAACATAGTACCATAGTGGGTCTATTGCCACGTTGCACTGGTGTATGCTATCCAATGCGATTCACACGGGTGGAAGAGCGCTACACACACTAACCCAACCGGTTAGGTTGATACCACTGTGCGATTATTAGTACTTACTTCACATACTACACCCAGTGGCCCATATACTGGTTGGAAAGCTGAATATACCTATGGCCAAAGTACTTCTTTGCTGGACTGCAGATTATATTGAAGGGTATTCTTCTGATAACATGTTTATCCTATGCCTTAGTGCTAGTACTATAAAAGAAAATGTATTTACAGATAAAACATGCATTCGCGAGCAGAATATATACATTCAAGTATGTACACCCCCACAAAGACCGGTACAATATATAAACAAGTGACTGTGTGGTATCTATAGTCATACACTATAATAAATTAGCCATTGTGCCCGATGGTATACTGCCGCAAAGCGGACACTTACAGGCACATACTGGTTGCTGTCGATATTCGATGTATGGCTTATTTCTCATGGATTCTCTGTTGAAATTCTGTATTATTCTATTCTGCTAGGTGTAATATCGGCAATCCAGTAGAATAAGCCGATGTTGACCTTTGGAACGGCTCCTGTGATGGTATACTGCCACATAGCAGACACTTACAGACACATACTGTTTACTGCAAATATGAAATACACTACCTATATCTCGTGTATTCTCTATAAACGTTTTATATTTATATGCATAGCCAGGTTTATTGTCCGCAATGCAGTACAATATGCCGCCCTAGGCCAAGGCTATAGTGCTCGACTGTTCACTACCGTGAAATTGACACATACAGGAACATACCTACAAATACCGATAGGAATACATTGACTATAGGTGGTGTATTTGCTACTGTTCTATATTATATTATCGTATGGTAGTAAAATAGACCTCTAACTACAACGTATTAGCTTCAGTACTTGAATGGATACTGAACATACTGATACATACCTTCTACTGCCGCTGTCAATACATCGGCTATGCTCGTATTCCCGCTGACTACGTTAGAGCTATAAAAAAATCCAGGTATGACATCAAAAGCTTACAGCATTCACTTCTATACCATGGAAACTACAACATGTGCATTGGACTGTTAGTAGTATGTTAGTGATATGTTAGACTGATAGCACGCCAGTAGTATGCTAGTAGGATGTTAGTGGTGTGTATGTTAGTAGTATGCTTGAATAATATTAGTAGCGCATTAGTAGTGTGTTGGTCGCATGTTAGTAGTAGATGTTAGCAGTATGTTGGTAGTAGTATTATGACGGTTGTAGTATTATGACAGTAGTAGTAGCATAAGCCGCTTGCTTATATCCGCTTGCCAGCCTCTTGCGTTCTCCACTCCACACGAAAGTCAAAAGCCAATGAATTACTATTTCTAGAGTTTGGCGCTCAATTTGATCCACCAATAATAAATAAATGAAGATATCAAGTTGTGCAACATTTGGCGTGTTGGGTTCCTGATGGTAGGTGGTAGGTGGTAAGTGGTAGTATCAATACTGCATGTTACGTAGTCACTTGACTGAGGTGACGAAGTATCATATAATGATGTATAAATTTATTTAATTAATATACAAAAACGTATCATTTGTTCGTGTTCATATACATTTAAACATGTGTGTACTTATCGAGGCAGGTAGTTTACGTAGGATTAGTATGTACACTCTGAGGACAGCAAGACCCTATGCCCAGCAGCCACATTGCGAGAACATCTAGGCAATAGTGTCTTGATATGTATATCGACCTTCACTGCCACTAAGAACGCCACAAGCAAACACATTTATCATATGACGCAATATAAGATTTTAGACCACAAGGCCTGTTTTTACTCTACAGATTGCTCGTCGTTACCTTTTTGCTACTTGCACGTCTAATCCACTCACGATATATATAAATACACCCACACACCCACACCCACACGGGTGCACATACAAACACATACAAGCACACAAACGTGTGCGAGTACACACACATACACACACACACACATACACACACACACACATATATATATATATATATATATATATATATATATATATATATATATATATATATATATATATATATATATATATATATATATATATATATATATAA